GCTGCTGCTGCTGCTGCTGCTGCTGCTGCTGCTGCTGCTGCTGCTGCTGCTAGATCCCACTGGCAAGCCCTTCGAAGACAGATGCTGCCAAAAATTGGTAGAAAACTGTGAGCAGTGTCACAGAATAACACCCACAGTTACTACAACAATGGACTTCCAGTGCACCCATTGTGCTAGACTCTGCACTTCCAGACAGGGACTTCAGAGCCACCTCTTCATGTAGAGCCTGAGGTTGTCAGCAGACAATTTGGCAGAGAATTAGCTACCTGAGGCTGACTAAGCAGAAAATCAGCAGCAGCAGGGGATGAGGGACCAGATCCTGGCAGGGTGCCCAGGCCTAGGATTCAGCAGCAGCTTTGGAGAGCTGAGCACAGATGCTCTGCTTGTCTCCTTGAGAAACAAAAATAGCAGCACCTGTAACTAATCACACCTGCATCTAGCCTATTTAACAGCCACCTGTAGCTGGCTGTTCACTGTAAACAACTTGCCAACTTTGGATCTGTGTTCTTGCTTCTGATTGTGCTCCTTGATTCTCAGCTCTTTGACTGGTGGATTAGCTTATCTAATGTTGGATGGCTGTGCTGGAAACAGTTATAAATCATACTGTGGAAACCTGCCTTCTGTGATAGAAAATCAGGCCCAGTTCAAATGTTGGGATGGGGGTGACACTGGAGGCCTGCTGGAGAGTTGGGGTGGTTTGGGCAGCTGGTGGGCAAGCCTGCATGATCCAGAAAGACTACAATGGACCATGTGGTTTGAAATGTAGAAGCTGTTGCACACCAATGATACTGTCAACAGTGAAGCAGGTGAAAAGGCTTGGATTCTGGAGTGGTTTCAGAAGCTATAAAGGAGATGATAAGAAGTTGTAGCTCTGGAGACAAAAATTGTGCCTGTGTGAACTCCAAAAGAATGCCAGGATGGAGTGCCCCGAGGATCAGTTCTTTCCCCTATCCTATTCAGCTTCTAAATGAAACCACTGAGAGAGGTTGTTTTGGAGGAGGATGTTTATATTTTTATCCCACCCTTTTTTTTATATATAATTCAAAGCAGCAAAGATACCTAATACTCCTGCTTCCTATTTAAGTAAGGTATCATCAATATGCAGATACTACCCAGTTATACATCTCTACAGGACTGTTGGGAGATGTGATGGAAGTCATGACCTGGTATCTGGAGGCTGTCAGGGTCTGGATGGGGAAAAAACAGCCCCAGATTCAGTCTAAACAAGATGAAATGGCTGTTGATCTGGAGGTCATCTGATTCCAGGTTTGCACCATCTTTCAGGAGCTATGGCTAGAGGGGGCCTCGGCAGCAGGTATTCCCTGTAAGCCCCTCCTTTGGAATAGCTTGCACCCTGATGGCCCCCAACCTTATGGCTTCTGGAAGCAGGTGAAAACATGGCTCTTCCAGAAGATATTCAAGGATTTATTATAACCAGCAGCACCATATTCAATAAATTTATTATTATTAGCATTAATATGAATAAAAACTTAGATTACTATTTTAATTAATTTTACATTGTCTTCTACTGCTTTTTATATGTAAGTTTTGTAAGCTGCCTAGAGCCCTTCTGGTTTAGGGGGTAGACCAATCCCACAAATAAATAATCTTTGTCATCTGTCTTAAAATTTAGGTTTTATATTATATAATATTAACTCTGAATTCTTTTTCTGGTGTGGTCTCAGACCATAAAGCTATAAAGAAAGAATTCTTTTTCTCCAGGTCATGCAGCTTGCAGGAATTGAAGCTCAGCATGTTGTACTCTTATTGGAAGATTATCAATTTGTCCAGCCCACTTTTCTTGAGATGATCAACAGCTTATTATCATCAGGTCAGAAAAGTATAATTGGTTAACAACTTGTAATAAAATAATTATAGATATATTGTTTAAAGTGATAACTGCTGCAGATTTGAATAGACATTGGGTCTGTTGTGTAAAATAAAATATATTGGATGTTATGAATTACATTAGGTCTGATTCTATTGTTAGATGATCAATATTAACACTGTTGCAAAATTAGATTATAGTTTAGAGATGATATTCCGCAAAGCACATCCTTTCAAATTTTCACTGAAGTATTGTAGGAAAGAATCTACTATAGAGAATGCAAACATAAATTGATTGAGTATAGGTTGTTCACAACTCCTCAGTGTTGTTAATATTAACTGTGTAATTGGACACTGTATTCTGTTATATGCAGATATCTTTAATTTTAAGATTTGGAAACAAATGCTTTGCAAAGTCAGATTAGGACAATGGGCATTTTCCTGATATACTGTAAGTTAAAACACAATTTAGTGTTATGAGAGCAAACTCCTGCAAATCTTGGGCTTGCACTCTTTTTCCCTTTCCACACTCCACAATTTAAATGTTGAATTATGCTAAACTGTGGTTAGCCTAAAATGAAAATGAAAAATCTGATATATTCTGAAAATTAATGTAATAACAGCTTATATTTAGTTATATATTTCCTTCTTTTAGAATCAACATTTTTTTTAAAATTAATAACATTTCCCTCAACTTCTTACAAAATAGAATGTTCAGAGATACTGTAGTAATTTGATTTTAATTTGGCACATATAAAACAGTGTGAAAACTATCTGAAATAGGTGAGGTGTCTGGATTGTACACAATAGAAGAATTAGAGCCACTCCTATCCCCTTTGAAAGATCAAGCATCACAGGATGGATTTACAGGACCAGTTTTCAACTATTTTACTTACAGTAAGTGAATGAGTCCATATAGTAATGTGAGCTATTACTGAAACAGTGAAAAAAGATATATTCAAATAAATGGGAAAGGAGGTCGTAAATAATGTTAACTGTTCTGATGGGATTTTTCTAACTGAATATATTTAGTTTGAAATTGAATTTTAAGATTGATTTCATTGTGTTAGAATCTTTGATTCAAAAAAACCTTTAACATATCTATCGGTTAGAAGTTGTTACACATTGCTTGGCACTCAGCACTGCCCCATCAAACTTCTTAACATTAAAAAAAAAAATGAGGAAGCTGGCATGCTACAAAGAGAAGTACTAGCCTTTAGTATCATATTTATTTCCATTAATGTCACTGGTCTCCATATACTGTAGTTTCTCACAAAATAGGAATGGAAGGTTGTTGCAGTTAAGTACTTTGTTTGGAATTGTGCCCATTTTCCCAGAAAAAGGGCAAGTTTAAGCTAGGGAAGAAGGGAGTATTCTGCTAGGGTGATGGGGTGGTAAAGGGGTTGGCAGTGAGCATTCTGGTATGTTGGTGCTTTATAATTGCTTATGTCTGCCATGGTATCCTTTTTGCGAATGGGCAAGAATCCCACTTTTTAACAGCTATGTGTGATGAAGCCTACTCTTAAAATTTCAAATAGCCCCAAAAGTTTCTGGCAATAATGCAGAATAAATTCTACCATTGCTTTCCCATCAGTCTTTTTTACTGAATTTATGGCTAAATATAAATCCTTCAAGTTCCTGACACCAAGACATCTAAGATATTGATTAAAACACAGTGAAGCACGTAGAGTAGTTGTAGCTATTGTAGACTACATTTCTAAGAGGCAAGATGGCACGATAGATAGATAGATAGATAGATAGATAGATAGATAGATAGATAGATAGATAGATAGATAGATAGATAGATAGATAGATTTACTGGGAAATATATTGTTTTTTAGCTTTCTGATCCAAATATTGAAAGTAATTTGAAGTAGTTGAAAGTAATTTGAACTAGGTATAGTTTTATATAATATTTATTTTGTTACATTATTTTTATAACTTTTTAGGAATTCAGCAGAATCTTCATGTTGTATTGATTATGGATTCTACTAATTTGAATTTCACAATAAATTGTGAAAGTAACCCTGCACTTCATAAGAAGTGTCAGGTGCTCTGGATGGAAGGCTGGTCTGAAAGCAGTATGAAAAAGGTAATTGCAAGAATAAGAAATAAGGACACACTCATCATATACTTTTGTATAAGTTCTGTCCTTACATACATATTATTTAATGTGGTTCTAAAATTTAATTTAGTTTACAAAATAGAGGTGACATAACATTTGGAGTGGATAACAATATATCCTTGGAATGTATGAGATGAATAATTTATGTAGCTATATCTTTTTCTATCTTAGAGAACTCTAGATTCGTAGTGTCAGAGCTTCATCCTGGACACAACAGTAAATCTCTCTCTAGGAACACAAATGCACAGTCATGAGTTTAACAGTGGAAGTTTCAGGGACAAGGGTCAGATAGATGAGTTACTTTTACTGAAGATGAGAAAGAAGCTCTTATAATTAAAGTCAGCTACTGTGGAATCTACCCATGTTTATATAGTATATTAGGTCCAGGGTTTAAATTCTGCATTTCTCTCTTCTGCTGTTATGTGGTAGCAGATTTTTGCCACCTGTTTCTTGGCCATGGATGTTGAAGGCACCTGAGTAGTATCTTGATAATGGTTCTGTTTGGTCTCAGACTGTTTGCTTCTGACCTTGCCAGCTTCTGTCCTCACAGTATTCATTGCTTGTTTCCGGATCTGTGAAAGCTGTGTCTTAAAGTATGGAAGGCATGTAATTTCTTTTTAGTTGAATCTAGGGAAAAAGGTACTTCTATATCTTTTGTTGAGCTCTATCTTTTCAATGTGTATAATTTTAACTGAGCCAGTCACACAGGACAGCATTATTTCTTAAGCCGAAGAAGAGTGGTAGCCTTGAAGCAATTAGCCAGTTTTGGGGGGAAGAAATGATTCTAATAATATTGCTTGTTCTTAGCCTACACTTTACATTCTAGATACCTGAGATGTTATTTGCCAAAGCGGATGAAAAGGAAAAAGCAGCTAAAACATCAAAAGAATGCAAAAAAAGGAACTCTGGTAAGTTGCTGTTCTATAATACAGTTATTTAGTGCATTTTATTTAACAACAGCATAAAAAATATGGAGTAAATCTAAGATTCCCCTTTCTCTCCATAAATATATTCCAAATTTGCTTTTGAGAAATAAAATATTATTTATAATATTACAGTCATTCCTCAGGAAATGTTTGAGAAGTCAAATTGGTTTTTATTATATATGTTGAACATAGCCACATGGAAAATGAAACAAAAAAGCTACAAAAGGGTAAAATTAATGTTAAGAATAATGGATTATACTTGAATCATAATTCCTTTCTGTTTATACAATATCAGCGTTGTCTTTAGCAGTACTTATATTGTGTATTCTTGGCCCATTTACAACTTTGTAATTTAGGTGACTCTGAATTTATGAAGTCTTTTTTGACAATTCATGACTCATGTAAACCTTATGGAGCAACACCCAGAAGATACATGACTTTCCTGCATACATATCTTGCCATCCATAACAGTAAAAGGACAGAGTTGATAAAAAGGCAAAGTCATTTGCAGGTATGCTTGATTCTTTGGATTTGTATTATATTTTCAAAATGATGCATTTGGATGGAGGATTGGGAGGAAGTATTTATTCAGCATGAACATCTCCTTGTACAAACTGAAAAAAAATGTGGTTATTAATCAGCATCATAGAAATCCCTTAATTAATTATTTTGTTCAATTTCTTTCTTCACTGTGTTACTTTTATTAGTGTAAATGTACTTGAAAAATATTCCTAATTAGCTGAACATTGCAGTATCGTACTGGTGGTTTACTTCTGGTCATATTGTAGTCTGGGATTAGGCAATCCGCATCTCCAGGTCAACTTTTTGCATTTCTCATATGACTAAGAGTAGTGTAAACCCTAAAATAGGTCCAACATAGTTAAAACACAAATAACCTCACTACTCCCCAGTCCTGCTTGCATGTGTTGTGTGGCTTCCTTTACTTCGTAGTCTCAGTCTCCCCAAAATGTTAACCAAGGTCTTTGACTTTCAGAAGGTAGTCTCAGAGTTAAATATATTTAATTTCTTCTCTTATCCTATCAATCTGGCTGATTGGATTTTCCCACCAGCCTTTGTTGCTGGATCTTTCCAAGATAGGAACATCTGACCTCAGAAAGTCAGACAAGGCAACGTTGCCAGGATTGGTCAGGAAGGAGGCTCAGAGGGACTGAGGAGCTGAGGAGTTCCAAGCCCTCTGCTCCTCCCTCAGACAAGAATATAATTGAGTCTTTAATTCCCCCCATTACTTGCAGTCACAGAATAATATATACATTTTTTTTCAAACAAAAGAACCAGGATAAGATGAAACCTTTTCATTTTGGTTTAGTTTGGGAGAAATTGGAGTTCTCCAAGGTTGGAGCCCTCTAATAATAGGTTTGATCTTTTACATTGAACTATATCCAAAATAAAAAGTTTTTCTAATTTTTCAAATATTTTCTTGAATAAGTGAATTCTTTTCTATTAAATTAGCATTTGGTGTATTGTTCCAAAAGCAAACACTTCATTTTTAACTGATCATATTTTTTCTGTTTTGCATTATGTTTGGCCTGATTTTTAAACATTATTTTAAAATAGCCTTTACTAACCATATGAAGGAATGGTTTGTTTATGGATCTGACTCTCTGCAAATGAGTTTCTACCAACCCCTCTTTATAAATTGTAGGCTGGAGTAGCTAAATTAAATGAAGCCAAAGCGCTTGTTGATGAATTAAACAGGAAAGCTGAAGAACAAAGCATATTACTCAAAACAAAGCAAGATGAAGCCGATGCTGCTCTCCAAGAAATCACTGTTTCTATGCAGGTAAAAGTACAGGAAGTTGCAAAAGTACAAAGAGAACATGGGCCTTGAGAGAATAAAGACTTTCTAAAGACTCTCTGCAAAGCCCTTTGAGTATGGTTAGCAAGAAAGATTAGTAGTATGTTGTTGGTAGCATAAAGTCTAGTCTAAAGTCTAAGAAATTCCTGGAAGATTTCTAAGAATTTCTACGGAATTTCTACGGAATTTAACTTTGGAAAGAAAAAAGATAAGGGAAAATGTTTTACATTGTCAGCTTTGCAAAATTATTGTTAGATCTTAGGCAGAATTGCTTATATCTCATTATACTGAAATCAGTATGAGACAACCTTAAGTAATTTGGACCCATTGATAAGTTACTGGCATAAATTTTCCTTACAGAGGAAGAAAATAGTTTCATCTTTATTAGTCAAAAATGTCCAATTGTCAGTGTCATATGATCTCTATATAGGTGGGCAGAAACTGCAGATGTTCAGTTTCAAAGAGTGTATAATAATAGTATAATACTACTATGAAGGATAAAAAATATCATGTTGCAAAGAAAAATGGCTACACCATTCAGTCTTAAGATATGTGTGTGAACTAATTGTTTGACTAATGCCTGTCTTGTAGGATGCAAGTGAGCAAAAATCAGAAATGGAAAAAATAAAACAGAAAATAGCACAAGAAGTAGTAAAAATTGAAGAAAGAAAAAAAATAATTGAGGATGAATTGAAAGAGGTTCAGGTAATCAAAGCGAAAAAAAATGATATTGCTATATTCTATTACAGAGTAGAATTTTGTTTATTACTATTATTTTTCTTTTGATATAATAAAGAGCGCTTAAGGTTTTAAGAGGGGAAATACTAATAAAATACGTTTGAGTGATAATTAGCCTTGAGTTACATTGAGAAAACATTGCATTAAAATCTGAGAATATCCATATCATTTCACATAAGCTTCTGAAACAACTTCTGTCTTTATAGTACTCAGACAAGCTGGAATAATTATTAAGATAAATGTAGTGCACTTTCTAGGACAACTTCCCCAACAATGTTTACTTCTTTTTATCAGTAAACATCAGCTATGGGTATTTCAAGAAATTAAGAGTAGTTTCCTTCATCTCATCATTGCTATATCTCTGTTTTCTTTTGGTATACCTCTGGCAATTTTCCTAATAATTTTGTTTGGTAATCATTCTTCGTGTATCTCTTTATTACATGTATTGCTCTTTTGGCTCTTTATTGATTTTCTGATTGCCTCTTCTTGACTGATGTACTTCCTTTCTTAATTTTTTAATGTTCTAATTTCTCACGTCTTCCTCGTTTTCTATTTTAGACTTTAATTATTGTTGTTTTTGTGATTAGACCTTTAACTGAATACTGAAACTGTATGGTTTCTATGTTTTGGCCCCAACATAGGCAAGAAAACCCACGGCTTTCTGTCCTACTGGAAATAGAAAAGCTTCTGTGAAAGAAATGAATTGGGGAGCAGAAATGGCTTTGGAGAGTAAGAAAGAGACTATAGTTAGGAACAAAGTAGGAATATGGGGAGGAAAGGGTTAAGTACTGATTCACCAGCATTCTAGTGAAATTTCCACTTTTATGTCATCTATTTAAGTTTTGATTATGAAGACATTGCTCAGTTCTGTAGTTAAAAGCTAAGCAGCTTTAACCCTTTCCCTATTTTTTTTTAGCCACTGGTTAATGAAGCTAAATTAGCAGTTGGAAATATCAAACCGGAATCTCTGTCTGAAATCCGCTCCTTACGTATGCCACCTGATATCATTAGAGACATACTAGAAGGTGTCTTACGGTTGATGGGTATCTTTGATACATCGTGGGTGAGCATGAAGAGGTAATAGAAGATTATAATCCTAGAAAACAGTGTTATAATTCTTTTTAAATCCTAATTTATTTTCTTCTGAATGCCAGAAAAAGCCCATAATAATAACCATAAATTATTTATGGACTGTACACTAAGACAGTGTTTTCACTAAACCGTTTTCCCACATTGGAATGGTTATTTAATATACTGTATATTCTGCAGTTTCCTTGCCAAAAGAGGTGTGAGAGAAGACATCGCAACTTTTGATGCTAGAAATATTCCAAAGGAAATTCGTGAGAGTGTAGAAGAACTTCTAGCTAAAAATAAGGCATCCTTTGAGCCAAAGGTAATTTGACATGCTTAACAAATATTAATTAACCGAGTCATAGATTACAGTAGTTCATTGTCGAAATGTCAGGTATTTTACCCAGTACATAATAATTTGCATAGGAATGCTACATAGCAGATGGAAAAAGAAAATGTTTTAATATTAATTTTTGTACAACAGAACTGTGTTCTATTATTGGTTTTAAATTTCCAAAACAGATACCCTGGTTGTTCAATGAGTGTTGATGGCGGTGTATTATTTCTATGAGTGTATTTTAGATGTTACCTCTGGTGCACATTTTCTTCAGATCAAATACATATGTTTGAATGTTTCAGAATGCTAAAAGGGCCAGTACTGCAGCTGCACCCTTAGCAGCATGGGTTAAGGCCAACGTTCAATACTCCTATGTCCTAGAACGAATTCAGCCTCTGGAAACTGAACAAGCTGGCCTAGAAGCGTAAGTAGTGTATGAAGCATAAATAGCTATGTATGTATTTATATCATTTTCATTATAATTCTGAACTGCAAGAGAACTGTTACATTTAAAAGAGGAAAACTGTTTCCTTTCATTGCCTGATTTGGTAGAAGAAAGTTTGGCTCAAATCTTTAAAATGAATATAACATCTTCAGGAAAGAAAGCTATACCATGTTCAAGTTTGCTTCCAAAATGCTGCTCTTTAAGTATCTTTCCTCAGAAAAAGTGTTGCTATTTCTAAATCCTATTTTGTGCTTTGTCTGCTCACCCATTTTGTTTAGAAGTATTGTTTAAAGCAGTTTGGGATAGACTCAAAATTGTTCAGAGAATGTTCTTTGTCTAAGGAAGGGGTTTTCAAACTTGTTTAGGTCACTAAGTTTTTATTAGTTAAAATAAAATCCCAGAAACTCCAGTCAGGACACAAAACTCTAGTGATAGAAAATGGCTGTATTTGAGAGGTTTTGTTGCCTTTAGTGTCTCTCAGAACCCCATCATGGTATAGACCAGGGTTCCTCAACCTTGGCAATGTTAAGACGGGTGGACTTCAACTTCCAGAATTCCCCAGCCAGCCTTGCTGGCTGG